TCTTTGCTGCCACAGGTTGTAGTGACTGTGGCCCTCACCAGCTTTATGCCCTCCAAGTGGAGGCCGCAAAAAGGTGCTGTCTGTGAACCAGAAAGCAGACCCTCACCAGACACAGAATCTGCCAGTGTTTTGATCTCGGATTTCCCAGGTTCCAGAACTGCGAGAGATAAATTTCTGTGGTTTATATAGGCCACCCAGCTTATGGTATTTTGTTATAGCGGCCTGAACAGACTAAGGCATATGGCTTTTTTTTGATTCTCTTGGGGGTTGGCATCTCAACAGAGGTGATGTCATCTTGTGCTGGGAAGATCAGAACAGTGATTCCAACGTCACAATAATGGGGACCCACTGAGACCCTATTTGATAGGTCCAGCCCCCTCAAGAGGCCAATGAGAGGCAACCCAATAGCACGATGGGGTTTTCTAGGCAAACCACTCTCCCCCTCAACCCTGTTGCCCCAAACATTGCCATTCTTCACCTCTATGACAGGGTGACCCTTCACAGACCGGCAGCTCCCAGAAGCCTCTACAGATCCCCAGTGCTGGGTGCCAGCAGTGTTCCAAAATCTTTCTGCTGCCCAGACCAGCCTTGGGAAACAGGCATGGCTCTCCAGCTGGCCAGGCCCCTGGCGGTGACTCATCTGGGCCCTGGAGCCTGGGCACCAGCACGCCTTCCTGCCTGTTGCACCTCTGTGACCGCAGCTGCCAAAGGGGTGGCAGAGGCTGGTTCCTGCCCTGGGCTGCTGCTGGCAGCCCAACCCTGGCAGGGAGCATTCTGGAGGCAGCGAGCTCAGCCGGCACGTCTGCCCATTCCGTGAGCCCCCTGCCCACCTTGCCTGCAGCTCAATCCCCATGACTAAGGGTATGGAAGATGATTCCTTTTCCCAGAAGCCCTGTGACTGAGCTGCGACAGGAGGGATCGGCAGTCCCCTATACTCAGAGACAGCAAAGATTTTTATCCCCCAGAGACAAGGGTCCCCCGGGTGTGAGGTGGTAAGCTGGGGAGCCGCTGCCATGGGCTGTCCTTAGGAAAGGTCTGCCACTGTCTGACCTGGTGTTGACCTTAACTCCAGGGACAGCCACTCCCCTGCCATTTGCTCCTGCAGACAGAGTGGGACAGATGACGCCATGGCACTTTTTGGAGTGCTGAAGTGAAGTTTTGACAAATTCCGAGGAACATCAAAGTGAAGAACAACAGCCAATACATCACAGCCTGTCACCAGGGCCCCACCCCCGATTATCACATTAAATCAGCCGATGGGCACATTTCAGCCGAGACTCAACAGACGCCTACTGGAACTCACAGTTTCTCCTTCCAGCGTTTGACAAATATGGCAATGGTTACATTTTAAATCTGTGTTCTCTATTTTACATTCAGCAGCTGAGCCCTTCATTTCTCTCTCTCTCTCTCTAGCACGCTGCTAAAGAAGGCCAGATAATTGGGATTACACAGCCCCGGAGAATAGAAGGCAGAGTCGGGTTCTAATCCCAGCTCTGCCGCTTAATAGCCTGTTATCTTTGGGCCTCAATTTTCTCCAAATAAGATAAGGACAATAACATTTCTATTTCCAAATTGTGAGCCTTGGTTGGTTAAAGTGGTTCAACATTAGTTCTCACCTGGTAACCATGCACAATGTTTGCTAGTCATAAAGTTTAGTATTTATTCCTTGTTATGTTTATTGTGAGCTCCTGTTTGGATATAAGAAAGATAAAACATTCCTGTCTCCTCAAGGTTTGCCAAGAAGTGCATGTGCGTGAAGTGGGGATCGGCTGCTCGGGCTTGACTTGCAGGTCGTGGAGGAAATATTTGCTGGGTTGGTATTTCCCTGGGTCAATTCGCACTGGGGGTGGGAGCGGAAAGTAATTTCAGAAAGAGCTTGTGCTGATCTTTAGAACGGTTTCTCCCAAACTCTAGAGCATCCAAAGAAAGCAGAGTTATCTGCCAGAATGTCCCAGAAAGATAGCAGGCATGTGACTTCCACACTGCCCGATAGGGCATAAGAAATGTCACATTTCTTTTATTACTTTAAATGAAATCTGATATGTTACTGCAGCCAATCTGCCAGGGTGATGGGAAATTCACTCTCAGACTTTCCTGGAACTCCTCCTTCCCCCCAGTTCCTGTGAACATTCATCCAGAATGTTCAGGTAGGGCCCTCTGGTGTTTGGTCCACATGGGTGACCACAGACGGGCTCATTTGCTAAGTCCTCACGGCTCTTGAGGCTGGTGGCTCCACCATGTCATGGCAAAGCTGTGCCATGGCTATGATTTCTTCCTGAGGCCCTGCCACCTCCCCAGGGTTGCCAGGGAGGTAGAACCTTCTCACGTGGAATCATAGGTCTCTGCTCCGGTCCAGTCCTGGAGGAGGCACTAGAATCCTTTGCAGGCTCCCTTCTTTAACAGGACTGTCTCCTTCTCCGTCTATTCGAGAAGATAACCAGTAATCTCCTTTAAGAGCCTGTAGAAACACAGGCCTCTCCTCCCTGGGAGTGGGGAAAAGATAAGGTATCTAAGTTAACTAGGATGAACTAATTTTGTTACCGAGATGGGTGATGAGATGGGATTGGAGAATTTGTTTGGGGACTGAGTGAGGGACATGCAGGAGAGATTTAGAGACTGATATGTGAAACTGGACACAATTCTGATCGCTCTGAAATACCTGTCACTTTCCTTCCTCCCTCCTGCTTCTACCTTTACAGGTAACCTGAGCAGGGAGGGAGAGCCTGGGAGGCAGCAGAGGATGGAACTGCTTTGTTGAGCACTAGAACCAGCAGCAGATATGCCAATCACACGGCATTCCTCTCTCTGTAAATTCAGAAAGTGCCACTCGGGGATGATCTGGTTTGACAGTCACAGCCACCCTGCAAGGTAGTGGGGCAGTTGTCATCTCTCTGCAGATAAGGAAGTTGAGGGGCAGAGCAGCAGGATGTAGCATCCAGGTCTCCTGATTTTTTTCTTCAAGACCCTGCAGCTTCACTAGGTGTTGAGATTAGGCTGTGGCTCCATCCATCAGTGACTTGTGATGTTTGCCTTTTGCCAAAGAGGAGGACAGATTAACCGCCAGTGCCCTGGGCATTCTGGAAACTTGCTAATAGATTTTGTCTGACTCTTGCTCTTATGCCATTCTTTGCTACTTTCAGGAAGAGAAGCTAGAATACATTTCTTATGACAGAATATGCTCTGGATTTTGATTAATATCTGGTGGGTCCCCAAAGACCGGGTTACTGCAAGTTTAAGACCACATTGCTAATTCTACATGCGTTCAATAGGACTACCTTAGTGAGGGGAGCAATTTTATAGAATTATTAATTCAAGTCTCAAAGAATAATTACAGGAAACGTATTTCTGACTATTTAGAAGTGACTCACTAAGGGAGCATTTGAAAACTATATATAATTTTTATCAGTAAATAGAATTGCCCATAGTCAATGTTATCTCCTCACATCCAGGGATTCTAAGACCCGATTATTCATTTCCCTCAAAACAACTGACAGCAAAGCCGGGAAAGAAAACCCACCAAACTCTCTGCAAGGCTGCCACCTCCCCTAAGCCCACTGCAAACTGATAACACCACACCCTCCTCTGCAAAAGAACAGAGGGGAAGATAAGATGGAAATTTTCATTCCAGTTCCCAATAGTTTCCACAGCCAGCGAGACATCAGAATCAGAAGAGGTTCCACAACCAGAAAATCTTGGCTAGCATTCCACTGTCTGGAATAAAACCGGAAAACTGAGAGCCTCAGATAGCCCTTCTCAGGGGGCTTTGCCAGGATAGGTGCTTTTGAATATTTAAATCAAAACAAAGGACAGCTAAGAATTCATACTCGTTGGTCATTTCCCAGTGAAATATCAGACTGTATAAAATATTTTTATAGAAAGTACATAATGCACTTTTCATTAGCTGGTGTTTGGCCTCACCAAGGAAAAGCAGAAAAATGAAACTCTACCTGCATCAGCCAGATTCTCCTAGACGCAGGTATTCACTGCCTGAGGCATTGCCATCCCTAAATTTTCGAGCATCCTACACTCTAGTGAGTGCCCTTCCGAGATGGCCACAACAGAGCAGTGGTCGCAGCCTGGTAGCTTTTTGAGGCTTGTTCCATTCAGAAGGAAGTGGCCCAGATCTGTCTTCTCTTCCCAACAATCCCTGGGTTTGACACTTCCCGAGAAAGCAGGGCTTGTTCTCTTTGTGTGCCACCACTCTGGAATGCAGCTTTTCCTGTCAGGAAGACAATGGTTTTATGGGAAGGCTAGGACTTGCAGGAGGTAAGATTTGAACAGCTGAGCAGGGTGTGGCTTTGCTGCCCTAGGAAATGGCAGGCACAGAGAGCCCGAGGTGGGGGCGGGTGTTGGGCAGCACAGGCTGCCTGCGGACTGGTAGATAATTCTGTCTGGAGCACAGCACAGGTGCGCAGGAGATACAGGAGGTAAGAAAGGTAGCCGGCGCAGAGGCAGCCCAGAGTTTTCCACACCAGCCTTAGGAATCTGGGGCCTATCTATTGGCCTCTGGCACTCAAAGTGTGGTCCCAGAATGGACAGCATCCTTGTACTTGAGAGCTTGTTAGAAATACAGAAGGCCAGGGCCCCCGCCCCAAGGCCTGTTGAATCACAATCTGCATTTGAACAGGGCCTCCAGGAATTTTATATCTTTTCATTTAAGCAGGGCTCTAGGCTAAGAGGGAGCAAGAACGATTTAGGAGCTGGGGGTGGGAGGTGGTAAAGTGATGGAAAAAGTGTTGGGGATTTAGCTCCCTGGAACGGCTGGAAAACACGCATTTGGGGAGCCCCCCCTTTCCCGGCAACAATCCAGGTGTGAGCAATGAGAGGCGGGAGGACCGGGTGACACAGGTCTTTCCCCACAAGCAAGGACGCCTGAGGTACGCCCCTACCCGGCCTGCCTCTCCGGTGGCTGGGATCTTGCTGGTGATCAGCCCAGACGCTGCGTGTTGGGGAAGTGGACATCCCCAGCATCTGTGTTTTGGAAGTCAGATTTCACTGCTATGGTTTATGTGCCCGACGCCCCGAAGTTCCTGCTCCCGTTGCCACAGGGAGCCGGGGGAGCGTGGCGCGCCGCTGCCGGTGCCCTGCAGCCACACAAACACGTCTGCTCCCGGCGGAACCGGAGCTTCTGGGAAAGACATTTCGGAAGTTTCCTGTGGCTGCAACAAATTGTTCGGGTCTGCACCGCAGCACTTCTGTGACCCGCTTTTCTCCGTCTTAGGGCAGCCCGTTCCCGAAACTGGAAGCTGCCCAGCACTACCCCCCAGCCCCCGCAGGCTCGGCTTCCCGGGGTGGCCCAGATGCCCGGCCTCTGTCCCCGCCGGCAACCCGGCCCAGTGGCTGGGGCGGACTGAGCTGCTGGTGTGTCCTGCCCCGGGCAGGGGGTGGAGCTTCCTTCCCTAGCGGTGGCAAGAAGGTGGGAGGCAGTGATCTGCTCTGGGATCTGGTTAGATCTGCATCTGCAGGCAGAAGAGAGGCTGGGGGACAGAGAGAACTTTCACCTGAAGATTCTAGGGGCCTCAATTTTGAAATGTTACATGATACACTAGAAAGTGCATGAACTTAGTTGACAATGAATTCCTGCCTTTTCCAATCAGTGCTGTGTGACCCTGACAAGTTAATGACTGTCTCTGAGTCTCAGTCTCTCTGAAATGAGATGATAATCCCTTCTTGAAGGTTGTGAGACCCTGAACATACGACTTGGGACACAGATAGTTAAGCAATATTATTAATAGTTTCCCTACTCTTCCCTTCCCTTGCTTCTTCTTTCCTACTGAGGTGTTGCAAATAAACTTCTGAATTAAATAGTTCTTGTCTGGTAATTCAGATCAACTGGAGGAAAGACAAGTCTTGAATATGATATTTTGTATCTGAAGGCTACATTTAAAAATAAATGTAACCATTTGCTGAAACCAAACCGCTGCCTAGAATGGAGTCTTTTGTGGGCCCCGCTTCAATGAACAGACCAGAGTGTAATTAGCACGTGAGTTATTTGGTAGCAAATGGGTTCTCTTAGGACATAGATATAATTAAAAGCAGTTTGTTGTAGTGTCTACAGTTTAGATGTTGCCCACTACATTCTTGTTTCTACTCTTAGCTTGCCAACTAAACCCGTACTTTGTTAGTCCAAACACTAACCTCTGATCAGTCCCATTTATTCTAAATATATTCTCACATAATGGGTTCCATAATTCAAGGTATTTTCTATTTGCTCCCTGGAGACTGAGACGTTATCAGTGCTGTGAGAACCTTCCATGAAGTTTTCCTCTAATACAGGCTTGGGAGCACAGAAGCCTCCTTGAGTGGTCAGACTCACCATTTCCCAGGACCATAAGAAAATATATATTTTTGTCTCCTCCCCCAAACACAGTGGAACTCACTTCCCATCTTTCCTAGGAGATTGTGGTACTATGTAGAAGCCTGGGGGGTCTCCTGGATAAAGCAGCTTGTAAAACAACCGTGGGGGGATTCCAAATCGGACTTAATCAACGTTTCTCAAGATCTGTAGACCAATAAAACTGTTTGCTTTCTTACCACAGTTCCACCGGCTGATTTATTTCTCTCACTCTGCTGAAGCTGTCGCTGCTCAAAGCAGTTCATTTGTCAGGTCGAGAGAATTACAATTCACAGGACCTCTCACTAGTGCTATCTCAGTTTATAAATTTCACGAATTACAATTTATTGCGGCGCACCCCGCAGAGTCTCATATTAATAAATTGTGGCTCATCTGCAAAAGCACGTGTATATCGCTCCCTTGGACATAAGCTTACGGTCCTGGAGCTGGTGCATGGGCTGCATGTGGCCGACACACAAATGTAGCTCTTCCGGTTCCTGCTGCCTCTGTCTGATTCTCCCTTTACTCGCAATGACCGTTTGCTTTCCTTGATTTCTTGTTTTTACCTCTATAAGGATGCCATGTAAAGGAGACCAGATGCCATCTGTGCCTGTTTGTGTTGTGGTGGGAGGGATTGGGCTCAAGGAAGAACTTAATTCTTTCCAAAATGCACAGACTTTTCCCTTGTAGATTTAATTGTCCTGTGGGTACAAAGAGAATTGCATTAATAATGCAAACCTTTCTTTGCTGACTCTTTTCCTTCCCAGCCACTTAGAACCTCAGCTCAAGCTTTCCGGAAGTCCTTGGGGGTCTTTCATGTGCTCTGAGAAGCTCGTCCAGTCGCCCATTTGCTCGGGTCGGCCCCCACCAGGCATCTTCCACTTGCTGCCTTTCACCCTGCTCTGGCCTTTTCTGGGCGTGGCTGCTGGCTCCTGGCCAGCCTGTGCCACCTCTGCCCGGTGCCCGTGAGTTCACTGGGTACCTTTGTTTCTTACTGAACACCTTCTGGTGGTGTCTGATTCCCACGGGGCATGCTGGGACTTCCACTATCTCTCAGTCTGCCCCTGACCCCCCCCCCAAGTCTCCATTACGGGCCAGATTGTGTCCCCCCAAATTCATACGTGAAGCCCTCACCCCCAGTACTACAGAATGTGACTGTATTTGGAGTGAGGGTCTTTAAAGTGGTAATTAAGATAAAAGGAGGTTGTTAGTGTGCGCCCTAATCCGATATGACAGGTGTCCTTATAAGGAGAGGAAATTTGGACACAGAGGGAAAGAAGTGGGAAGACACAGGGAGAAGATGCTCATCTGCTAGCCGAGGAAGGAGGCCTCGAGAGAAACCAGCACCCTGATGTCTGGCCTCCTGAACTGTGAGAACACAAGTTTCTGTTGTTTAAATTACACAGTCTGGTACTTTGTTATGGCAGCCCCAGAACACTAATGCAATCCCTTACCGAGAAATGTCTGGAGCCTTCATGGTGACCAATGAAGTACCGGTCAATGACAAGTGAGGGGTGAGAGCTTGTGGCTTCTGTTAATGTTGTGCAGTTAGAGGAACGCCCACTGCTTGCGTGGCGTTGTCAGTGTCTGTGGAATAGCCCATCCCACTCTGGAATCAGGCTGGTACCCCTTCCCTCCTCCCATATGCCCTGTGCTCTGGTCACGGTGGAGCCATCATTCTCAGAAGCTCTCATGACTTCTAGTTACAGCAGGGGGCTGGGATCACCCAGAGGACCCTGGAATCACAGTGATCCTATTCTGGGGGAGCCAGAGCCAGGGAGGAGACAGAAGCTGCTGGAGATGCCACTCAAGACTGACAGAGGAGGGAAGAAACACCCTGGCTGCCCCCTTCCTACCCCCTCAGTCGCCTGGCAGTGCTCCATTGGCTGAGCCCAGCTGGAAACCCGGAGTCGGGAAACACAGCCTGCAGGACCCAGCCCCTGCCACGGGGAACAGAGTAGGAGAAGGATGAGGAATGGATCTGGCACAAACAGCCCAGAACCGGTGTTCTGTCCATGGCACTACATTAGTTTCCTGTGGCTGCCACAGCAAATCATTACAAATTTGGTGGGCTAAAACAATGAAAATTTATTCTGTCACAGCCAGAAGTTCAAAATCAAGGGCCATACTCCCTTTCTAGGATCTGGGGAGAGTCCTCCCATGCCTCTTTCAGGTTCTGGGCGCTCCAGGTGTCCCTTGGCTTGTGGCCACATCTCTCTGACCTCAGATTCCTTCTTCATCCAGCCTCTCCTCTTCCTGTGGGTCTCTCCTGTGTGTGACACTTGTCTCTTCTCTGTGTGTCATTGGATTTAGGGTCCAGCTGGATTGTCCAGGTTGATCTCATCTTGAGATCCTTAACTCAAAGACATCTGCAAAGACCCTTTTTTCAAATAAGGCCATGGTCACAGGTTCCAGGGGTTAGTATGTGGGCATATCTTTCCGGCCACCATTTCACTCACTATAATCTCCTTAATTTTGCTCAAGCTATTTTTTCACATGGAGTGTCCCCAGCCCTTCTCTATCTAGAAAAGTCCTTCAAATCCCCTCTCAGGTGTCACCTTCAGTGTGAAACCTTGCCTGAACTATGCTATCAGACAGACTTACGACCCCTCCTGAGCCACATAGGTCTTTGTTCACGCAAAGGGGACTTATCTTCCTGATAGTCTGTTCCTGTTAGACCAGGAGCTCCTCAAGGGCAGAGCAGGGCCTGTGTCCTCTGCTCCAAGGGCCAGCGTCACCTCTAGCTCCTCTCTTCATTAGCACTAATGCTGTTCAGTCTGGGTTCCTGTCCTCTCCTCCTGTTTTGGGTCAAAACAGCTTCCTTACACCCTCTTGAGCCTCATGTGGTTCTGCCCCTCACCTGCCAGACACTCGCCAAGCACCTCAGAAGTCTGGAATGTGTCTGCCATTTGCCCGAACCCCTCCTGCCTGGACCTGCGTCACACATGGCTTCCCAGAACTGCCCTCGTGCGGGAAGCGCTGCCGACGAAGAAGTCCTGTCAGAAACAAATGCGGCCAGGACCCGAAGTGGAGAAAGAACCATTTGGTTGTCATAGCATTTCTAGGAGAGAAATTTAATCTGGAATTGGGGATAAAGAATGAATCATTTAAAGCTGATAGGGAGATGCTTTTCTATAGTGAATGATTATTTTGTTCTAAGAAGTATTTTAAAAAGCCTCCTAAAGTCCTATAGAGAAAAACCCTGGTTACCTAGAACACTTGGGAAATGGGGAGCTCTGTTCTTTTAATTTTGCGGGAACCAAAACTCCTTTTGTTTTTTAACTCTTGGTGCAATTTCGCCTCACGACACGTATCTTTTCTGTGTTAGGAGGTGAAGGGCAGCAAATGGGTGCACCCTTTCCGCTCACATGGTAGAGGACTAGAGATGTAGGTTTGGGAATCGGGCTGAGTAATGTGGGGTCATAACCTTAATAAATCCCTTTTATCAACTTGTTTTTTTCTTTTTTTGGAGATTTTCTTCTTTTCTCCAAAAGTGGAGAGCAGAACATAGTTAGGAGTGAAGGTTTCTTTTGCCGACCTCTGACTAATTTGGCTCTCCTTCTGACGTGCTAAGAATATTTTCTAAGCAGTAATTGATCGCATCTCTATAGCGGGTAGAGGCTCTTATAAATATTGCCATGGAAAAAAGTTTTGACCACTTTTCTGTGTTTCTTCCTACATTTAGTTTGTCTATTTTCTCATCTAAAATGGGAGTAGTTCTTATCTTGACTTATGGGATTGTTATGGGGATGCAATCAAATGTTTTGAAAATGCTTCATGAGTGAAACACTGCACAGACTTCCTATGGCATTACTACGACACCCAGCTCTAGGAAGAAATGGCCGGGCTTTTATAAAGCTTGACTCTTGGTTGTGAGTCTTATTGACATTTTACGTACCTCACTGATGCTGCTTTTGTCACATCTGGGTTCATCGCGCACAGGCCACGTCCGGGCCCTGTCTCCAGCTTGATCCTCCTCCTTTCCTGGCTTTTCTTTAGACAACCAGTCACGCACTGCCAGCCTGCTCCGCCCTGGTGCACAGCCATTTGCTATGTTCCCAGGAGAAGCTAAACTCTGCTCTCTTTCACCCAGCAAAAAACTTGATGTCTCCCTTGTGTGAAAAAAGAAAAAAAAAAAGAGGATCAGACGCCAGCGAGACACTATATATAGTTTTTCTTTGACTGCTGGAAAGATAAGTGCCCGACGAGAGACAG